ATTATTATTATTATTATTATTATTATTATTATTATTATTATTAAAATTTTGTCTGGTCGCCCTCGTAAGACTATCCCAAGGAAGGTCTACAATTTTAAGAAGGCAAACTTTACTAAACTGAACGTAGGATTGTGCCTTCTTGGAAGAGGACGTGGACATTTGTACTGAAAGAGTCAACGATCTATTATTGACTGCTGCTGATATGTGCATTCCAACCTTTACTGTAAGAAAGAAAATTAATCCTCCATGGATCACCAAGGACATTCTCAATAAGATCAAAAAGAAAAAAAGGTTATGGAGAAAACTTAAAGCTCATCCATCAGAAGCCTTAGCAGAAAGTTTAAAAAGTTACCAAGATCAGTCAAACAGCTTATAAGATCTGAGTATAAAAGGTATCTGCAGCACCTGTCCAGTCAACTGAAGGCAAACCCAAAACGATTTTGGAGCTACCATTCAATTAAGTCGAAATCAAAAAGGCTTCCTGAAGTAAACACTTACAACGGAAAATCTGTGGCGAAACCTCAAGAACAAGCTAATTTATTCAATATTCACTTCCACTCAGTTTTTTGTAAACAGAGTACTCGGGTACCAACTCCAAAACAGATTGACTTACAAGACTCAAGACTTGATGTCCTCACCAACCATGTGACACGTGGCACTAAAGAAGTTCAAAAATTGCTNCTAAGTTTCATGTGTGGATGCTGCCTGTTCCACGTTCCAACATTTTGGCCAAAAAAAGGAAACGAACAAGCCAAATGCCGAGAACTTAGAAAACGAAGATAAGTAATCCTATCAGAGGCTGCTTGTGTAATTATTAGTAAGCTGTAGGGTAAGCCTGCGTGTATGCATGATAGGAAAACCGCGGTTGAGTGCCTCGCCTAATCGGGTGCTTTATTGGAATCACTCTTTATTCACAGTAGGAGAACTTGTGTGGAATACCTCTGTGAATGGTTTTATTATATTATTTATAATAATATTATTTATACATGCTCTTTTTATTTTACGTTATACAGGGCCCCCGTTGATACCAGTCCTGCGACTGAAGGGGTCACCCTGTTTAAATATTGATTATTATTATTATTATTCTCCTCAAAATACTCCACCTTTTCTTCTATCACTTTCTACACTTGTATACTTCGTTCGTTTTGTTTTGTCAGGAAGCTATGCAAGCCCACTTAGAGATCCAGGTAGGTTACAATCAGGAATCAGCGTTAAAATAACTTTGGCAGTCATACCAACTTTATTTTACGCTATTAACAAAAAAGATTGAAAGATTATTAACTACTTAATAACCGAGAGTGAGGTCGTTTCGGGAAAATCTCAAACTGAGGCCTTGGTCAATGCGTTAGGCCGAGGTTTGAGATTTCCCCGTAACGACCGAACGGTCGAGGTTATTAAGTTGTTTATTATATGGCTCATGAATTAAAGAAAAGAAAAATTTTATTCGAGCGGAAGTCGTCAATTTACATCCGGCGATGCGCGCGTTCACCGATTCATTTATCGTCTCAAACCCAGGGCAAAACTACGCAGTCAGTAAACTTCACCACTGTATTACGTATTCCGTTAAAAATACACATTCTTTACAGGAAAAATGATTGTCCCAGCTTCAAAGAGGTATTTTAGTATCGCGGT